AATTCACAAAAATACAAAAAAAAAGAAAAATTTCCCCCCCCAAACATGCCTGAAAAAATAAAACTCAGAATTTTTGATGGTAAGTTGTATGATCGGGTATGCAACCATATTCATCAAAAATTCATGTTTGATACATTAGCTAAAGGGGCAAAGGGTTTCCCCTTGCAGGTTGGGCAATCATTCTCTCCCCGAAGGGTAATATAAAAACCTGTATTTCTCTCCCCCAAACATAAGATTATAGCATTTCATTTGTCATCATAACACTTTATTGATATAAAGAAATTTTAATTTTTGGATATAATGTGTCAATGTTTAAATGTAAGGTTGGCAAAAATTTCTCCTGAGAGGGAAAACTTTTTTTTAAAGCCCCCATTTGTCTCGAAAAATTTTTGTTTTAGTCACTAGTCACTTATTGGTGTCACGATCGTCTAAGGTTCCCAAATGCGCACGTTGCAGTGAACTGATGACTTTATAATCCAAAAAACCACGAAAAACACAAAGAAAACGTGAGTTCTTCAAAACACACAAACCCAAACAAAACAAAAACCCCCAAAAAAAAAAGGGTAAAAACACACAAATATATAGGCTCCCAATCAGAATAACGAGCCGACACTGACCTCTTCCCCCCTCCAGGGGGAGTCTAACCCCCAATCACCCGACAAACCAAAATGAAATCCCCATACCACACACCCCCAAAGAAATACCCCAAAACACAAGAAAATGAACAACCCGGTCAATAAAAAACTCCATAACCAGAGTTTTCCCGTACCCCCCCCAAAAGGTGCGAACTCCGGGCGCCCCAACATGGGCTAGGGAGGGTCTGGGTGGGCGTCTGCCATGGTGGCGGCTCTGGCCCCGGTCGTATCCCCACCCCACCACACCCCAACCTTTTTGGTACCTCCCCCCCAAGACCCCCCCCCCTAACCCCCCCGGGACTAAGGGGAAACCCCGGACAAGGGGCACATGGGCCAAAGGGAGCACCGGAAAAGGGCAGCCCCGGGATAGGGGCACACCGGACAGGGGCAGCACCGGGGCTACGGGGCTACCACTAAAGGGCTACGAATAAGGGGCAGCCCGGGGGCAAGGGCAGTACCGACACCGGGGGCACACCGGCTAAGGGGGCGGCCCGACTCAGGGGGGCACCGGCAAAAGGGGGCACCGGGGCCCAAAAGGGCAGCCCCGGGACAAGGGGCAGCCCCGGATAAGGGGCAGTCCCGGACTACGGGCACCCCGGGGCTAAGGGCGGCCCGGATCAGGGGCACACCGGACAAAGGGGGCCACCGGGCAAAAGGGGCAACCCCGGCTAAGGGGTATCACCGATAGAGGCGGACCCCGGGTGGCGGGCTTGGGGGCCCTGGCGGGAGGCTCGGCGGTCCTGGGGGACGGCTCTGGCTCCTGGGGGAAGGGGCTCTGGCGGATCCGGGGGACATTTGGCGATCCTCTGGAGGCTTGGCGGACCCTTTGCTGGAGGGCTCTGGCGACCTCCCCGGGAGGGCTCTGGGGATCCTGGTACGGTTTGGGGATCCTGGCTAGAGGCTCTGGGGGATCCTGGCTGGACGGCCGGGGGATCCGGGTAGACGGCTCTGGCGCTCCTGGCTGGAGGCTCTGGCGGACCCGGGGGACGGCTCGGGGCGGACCCGGGGCTAGACGGCTCTGGGGGATCCGGGCGGGACGGCTCGGCGGATCCGGCTGGACGGCTCGGCGGATCCGGGCGGACGGCTCTGGGATCCTGCGGGCGGCTCTGGGGGGACCCGGGCTGGAGGGCTCGCGGACCTGGCGGGACGGCTCTGGGGGAACGGCTGGGACGGATCGGCTGCTCAGGGCTGGTGACGGACTGGCTGTCATGGCTGGCTAGGATCTGGTGCTCATGGGGCTGACGGATTGGCTGCTCATGCTGGCTGACGGATCGGGCTGCTCATGGCTGGTGAGGGTTGGGCTGTCATGGTGGCTGACGGGTTGGTTTGCCATGGCGGGGCTGCGGATCTGGCTGCCATGGCTGGCTGCGGTCGGCGCTCATGGCGGCTGACGGATCTGGTGCTCAGGCGGCTACATCTGGCGTCATGGTGGCGACGGATCGGGCTGCTCAGGGCTGGCTGCGGATCTGGCTGCTCAGGGCGGCTGACGGTTGGCCTCATGGTGGCTGAGGGGATCTGGCTGCTCATGGGGCTGAGGGTCTGGTGCTCATGGCGGCTGCGTCGGCTGCTCATGGGGGCTACGGGCTGGCTGTCATGCTGGTACGGATCTGGCTGCTCGGGCTGGCTGACGGTTTGGCTGCTCATACTCTGGGTGCTCTGGGGACGGCGGTGGAGGCGGACCCCACCTGGGATTCAGTCAACATCCACGGGGCGCTCCCATTGCAGGAGCTGCTCTTCCTGGTCCCGAACCCGAGTTTTCCATCTAGTAGGGGCCTTCGTCGGTCCTCTGATTCCATAGCGATTATGTTCTGTGGGGGCGGAAGGCTCTAGCGGCCCTGTCTGGCGGAAGGCTCTGAGGTCATGGCAACGGACGTTTGGGCTCAGTACAACGGGGGGCTTATGCACCCTTTGGCAAAGGGGCATTTTCAACCCCATAGGGGGCCGCGGGCTTTTCGGGGCGCCGTTGGAGCCAAAACTCGGGCCACTGGAAACGCCCCCCCGAGATTCGTGCGTGGAGCAGGAACGCCGGCTGGGCTGGCGACGCCACCTTATCCCTGGTCGAGTGGCCAACAGGCCGGGGCCGGGTGGCACGCACATCGTGGCCCTGGGGTGGGAAAGGAACAAAACCGGTCCGTACCGGAACCCCCACCACTGGCCCCTTAACTGGGGATAAAGAACGGCCGGGCCAGATGGGAACACACTTCAGTCTCTCATGCCGTGCCAAAAAACCCCAACTCCCTCCCCCTTACCCCGCCAATGGCCCCGATCCATACCTTTTTTCCCGCTTACCTGTGGGGACCTCCTGCTGCCCAGTGCCCAAGCCATGGCCCCCCCCAAAAATTTTTTTGGGGTTGCCTCTCTCCACGGGCTTCCAGCCTCGCCTTTGCGCTGCTCCCCGTACCCACCCCTCCGGCTTGGTGCCTCCGTCTTCCGAGGGGGCTATTCCCCGGTTTTGTGCCCAAAGGGCCTTTCCGTCCAATAACCCTTCCCCTGTCCAGACCTTAGGAGCGTCCTAACCCTGGTTTGGGGTCCTGTTCCGCTTTTTCGCTGCTTGGGCCTTTTGTGGTGGGTTTTCTGTCACGAGTCTAAGGATTTTGGGCCAAGCGCAGCGTTCGAGTGAACATGATGATTTTTAATCCAAAAAAACCACAAAAACAAAAAAAACAAAGTGAAGGTTTTTATACTAAACACACTAACAACAAAAACACTAACAATAAACCCCCAAAACAAAAATTTAAAAAACAAGAAATATATGGGTCCAACAAGATAACGAGCCGACGCTACACCGGTTACCTCCGATTGGGAGTCATCGACCCAAACACCACAGACACAAACCAAAAAAGAAATCCCCTACCAAAACCAAAAAAAACCCCCAAAAAAAAAAAAACCCCTGGTAAATTTAAAACCCTAACCAATTTACTTTCCACAAAAGTCCCCCACCGGGAAATTTGGGCAATTTTTTTTTTTTTAAAATTTTGACATTTTACTCAAAGGTTTTGCTCAACATACCCAAAAAACTAAAACAACCAAAATCCCCCACAAAAGAAGGGAAAACCTTTTCCCCAAAGCCCTTTGGCCCCCAGGCATGGTCCCCAGTGGCGCCCCTGGGTTTTTAAGACACTGGATTTTTTTTGGGGTGTTTTTGGGCCCAACCCCCAGGTTCCAATATTACCCGAAGGGGAAAACTTGGTTACAAAGGCGAATACCCGGGATTTTTTTCCCCGAAACCCCGAACAACCGTTTCCCCCGGGCCTCTTGAATTCGGGGGGGCCGCCACCAGGGGTTTTTAAACATCGGCGCAAAAAAAAAAAGGGCCCCCCCCCGGAAAAAAAAGGGGGCTTGTTTTCTAAAAATTTAACACTAAGGGTTTTAAAAAACTAAGGCTCACCTTTTTGTTCCCCCAAATCCCCCCAAAAACCCCGCCGAACTCCCAAGATTTTTTCGAAAGCAGGCCGTTCCCCCCAAGCAAAACCCGAGGTAAAAGATACACCTTTTGAAAGGGAAAACCCAAAACCGAGTCTTTGTTCCCGGGGATTTTAAAAAAAAATTTTAATCCCCGCCGAACCCCAAATAAATATCCTTTTACCGTGAAAACCTCGACCAGTTTCAAAAATTTCCCGGGGGGGTTTTAAAAAGGCCCCACCCCCCCCAAATTACCAGCCCCTTTTTGCCTTTTTCCAAGCAAAATAAAAAGGAGCCGTTTTCACCTGGCTTGCCCCTCAACCCCCCAAAAATTGTTTTTAAACCCGGGATGGGATAGTTCCCGGGGTTCCCCCCGAAAATTTTTTTGCTTCCTCATGCGGTTTAAAAGGAAAGTTATGGTGTTTTTCCCTTGAAAAAACCACCCTAAAAAAAATTGATGACGGAATTTTTGGGGGCCTAAAAAACCCAATTTCCCCTGAAAGGTGACTGGGTATGGAAATAAAAAGTGTAGTTCCCCCAAAAAATTTTAAACCAAAAAAAACGAAAAGGAAAGGGAGTTCCCCAATCAAGCACACAACTTTGGGCAGGTTAAAAAGGATAAAAAAAAACCCCAAACATGACTCCACCCCCGCAAAAAAACCCCCCCCTTTTGAGAAAGAAGTCCATCAGGCCCCCCAAAAAAGGGGGTCTCCCCCAGGCCCCAAAAGACAAAAAAATTTTCCCCCCCCCGCAAGGCTTGCCCCCCAAACACCCCACCCCCCCTCCGGCTGGGGTTTCTTTCAATTCCCTTTCCCATTGCTTTTCCCCCCAATTTTTCGGGGGGGCCACCATTTTCCGTCCCCGGCGGTGCTAAAACAAATCCCCGCCCTCATCCCTTTCCCAAATGTTTTAAAAAGGGAAAACCTTTCCTTACCAAACCGTCCCCCTAACTAATTTTGCACCGCCCAAATTCCACAAAATTTTTAAAACACAGAAATCCCTTCCCACGGGCCCAGAAATAAATTAAAACCGGCAAGTCAAAATTCACACCATGACCCCCCCAACCATCTTAACCGACCCCCTTTGGTAAAAAGCCCGTTTAAATTTGGGCCGGATTCCCCTGACCCCGCCCCCAGGGGTGAGGGGGCAAACCCCTTTCCCGGTCCTACCGGGGGGCCCCACAAGGGGGTTTGGACCCCCCACTCCCTGTCCCCAACTGGGGCCCAAAACGGGGTTTCCCAAATTTTTCAGCCCAACGTATCCTTGTTCCACAATGAGGGAAAACCCTAGGGGGAAGGTGAGGGCCCGGGGTGGGGCCAAAACCCCCTCCCAACCCACAAAAAGGGGGGGAAAATCGGGGATTGGCCAGAATACCCCCCACCCTCACCCCCGAGGGAGAGGGGGACTTCAGGCTTGGGTACCACACCGACAAACAAAAAGGGGGAAAACCAAAAATTGGGGAAAGGGGGAACAAAATTAAACCCGAGGAAAGGGTTTTTAAAACCCAAAACTCTAAAAATTTTAAAAATAAAAAAATGGGGATCCTTTTTCACCCAAATTTTAAATGCAAAAAACTGCGGGCTTCCAAGGGTTGCCGCCCCCACCCCGGGGAAAACCCCCCCCAGAACATAAATGAGGAAGCCAAAAGACTTGGGCCCAACCCAGAGGGGGACCCCCTAAAAAAGGGGAGAAAAATGAAAAGGGGAGAAAAAAAAAACCCCTTTTCACAACCACGGCAGGGTTTTCCCGACTCCCCCCGGGGGGGCGGCTTCCCGGGGGGCCGGGAGTCTAGCGCCACCGTGTATTTTTCCCATTTCTTTTTTTTCGTTTTTTTCCCGTTCGTTTGGGTTTTTTTTTTTCCCCTTAAAAGTTCTTTTTGGTTTGGTTTGTTTGTTTGTACCTGTTTTTTGCGCTATTTTGGTCTTATTCGTTGTTTTTTCGGTTTAGGGGGTTTCCCCGGGTTTTGCGCTTTTGGGTTTTCGCCGGGGTTTCGTTTTTTCTCCCCCCGGTTTTTTGCCGGTAGGGGTTTTTTTAAAGCTTTTGCAAATTCTCGCCAAAAGCCCCCTGAAGAATCACAACCCTTGATAATTTTCCGGCCCCACAGCACCATTCCGGAAGAATCCACAAAAATTTGGTCGGAAAAGCCCCAGACTATTAAAACCTTTTAAAACCTAAACCGGGGGCCCCCCCAACAACCCCCCCCCTGAACCAGGGGACACCCAAAACCCCAACCCGGGGGATTCCCTGGGCCCCAGGGCCATTAGGGGGGGCCCAGGGTTCCTCCCCCCCGGGGGCCCTTAGGGGACCGCCCCGGGGGGGCCCTCCCAGGAGCTTGCCCCTCCCGTCTTTGGGGAAAGGCGTTGGGGCCCCACCCGGGTGGGGGAAAAGGCGAAATCCCACCGAGTTGGTTAGGGCACACCACCTGGGGGGCGGCGGGGGATTTTGTTTACCTCCCCGGGGGAGGGGGGGGATTTTCGTTTAAAATTCCGAAAGGGCGGAGGGGTTTGAGACGCCCTCTTCGGCCCAAAACCCCACCGCGTATCAGGGGGACGCCCTTTGGGGCTGGCCGCGGCCCACCTCTCTTTCGATCAGTTAGTGGCTGTCCATCGGGCGGACCCCTGCTGGCCCCCGCGGACGTTCCGGGGGGTCCGTCCACCCTCCCCAGACCTCCGAGCCGAGCCCTTGGGCCGGGGTGGGCGCAGAGGAGGGGGTGGACAGGGGGGGCCGTCCTCTCCCCAAACGTGGCCGGGGAGGACACACCGCGGCAGGGCGGGGAGGGTCTCCTGGGGGAGAAACCGGGCTCCCACTGGGGGTCCTTCCAGGTGGTAGGCCCCCACTTACCCAGAGCTCTCTGTTGTGCACTTCTGTAACCGTGCGATTTCCACAGGTTGCACCCCTTCCCAAACATAAGGCGCTAGTAGATCAGGGGGGCGGGAAATTTTTTTGATAGAAAATTTTGTTTAGAATTGGATTCCCCCCCTTCCGGGTTTACTCCCCATTCCCCGTTATGCCCCAGATAGCTGTCCTTTGGGATGAGCTTGAAAACAGGGGGGCCGGCACCATAGGATGGTAGGGGGGTCATGAGGGGATATCCGCTATTTCGATCGCTCGCCTGGACCGGGGGGCGGGGAATGCCCTGGTTGAGTACCATAAAACCTCTATTTCGTGGCAGGAGGGGCTCTGATGGATGGCCCCGCCCCGTGGGGGGTCGATTTTAGGGTTTGGGGGGGCACCTCGGTGGGAGTCCCCAAACCCGGTGCCCCATTGCACATTTTCCCCCCGAGTAGGGATTTTGGGTATGTGTTCATAAGCGAGGGGGACGAGTTACCCCTCCCCATAGGCAGGGAGATGTGGTAGACCTCCGGCAAACGCGCCCCCCGGAGCCATGTTATCCTCGCTAAGAGGAGAAAAGAGCTTGGGACTTACATAGCGAAACTCTGGAAAAAGGATACTACGGCCATCCACTTCCCCTGCGTCCCAGTTTTTTTTTTTGTGAAGAAGAAGGGTGGAGGGTTCGCCCGTGCATTGATTACCGGTTTTCCAACAATACGGTGAAAAACAGTTATCCACTTTCCCCTGATTGCGACCATGACGGGTTTGCACGGGGCGGTTTTTTTTAAAAAAATTTGTCTCGGAGCGCTTACAACTGTTGGCTTAAGAGGGCGATGAATGGAAGAACGTTTTACCACCCGGGCCTTAAGAGTACTTGTCATGCCATACGGGGAGAACGCTCCTTCAGTTTTCCAAACATTTTGGATGAGAATTTAGGACTGCAGGGAGGGGGTGGTCGTGTACATAGATGACCTTCTCTTAAAATCGTCTACCGATCGAGCATGGGCCCTGGTTTTCCGAGTGTTTTAGGGGGCTGTTGGGGCACGACCTTATGTCAGGGAGGAAATGTCTGTTTTTTTCCCGGAGTCGATCCCTTTTTGGGGTTTTCATTTCTGGTCAGGGGTGAAAGGAGGTTGACCGGGTGTCCCGTCAATGGCAACTCCAACCAGTTAAAGAGGTGCAGCAGGTTTTTTTTGGGGTTTTCAAAATTTTCCCCGGGGTTTCCGGGTTTTTTGGGCGGGGGAGCTCCCTAACGTCCTTTTTAAGGGGGGTCCGGTGCGTTTGCATGGTCAGCCCAGGCGGACGGGCTTTTGGGGGGAAGGCCTGTTTTTACTTCGGCTCCGGGGCTGGGCATCCGGGTCCCCTTTTACCATTTCGGTAGAGGGGGCGGTCAGGGCGGGGGACCGTGCTTTTGCAACGGTCCGGGCCCCCACCCAAACTCCGCCCCCGTGCTTTTTTATTCTAAAAAAACAGTCCGGCGGGCGAAATTAGAATAGGGGACGGGGGTGTTGCCGTGGGCGGGCCCCCCCAAAGGGGTGGGGGCATTGGGTTTAGGGGGGTCAAACCCCTTTTCTCATTTTGACTGACCCCCGAACTGGAGTACATCCCCGGGAGCTAGGAGACTGAACCCTCGCCAGCGCGGTGGAACATGTTTTTGGGCCCGGGTTTGTATTTAAAATCACGTAATCCCTGGGGGACAGCGGTAAGGCAGACCACTGTCCGGGGGTATGACACGGAGGAGAGGTCCGGGGGCCACCCCATACTGCCGGATCTTTTCTGGGGCCCGGTAGTTGGGAGGGGATGCAATCGGGGGGGGGTTGCGCAGACCCCAGTCCCCCAATGCCCCGGGGGGTCGGGCGACGTCCCGCTCGAGGTTGGGGTCGATTGACTATTGGGGTACACGTCCCCCCTCTGGAATCCGGTATTGGCCGGGGAAATCACGCCTTTTGCAAATACGGGGGCCCCCGTTTGCGGGGATTTTGGGGGGTTTGTTCTCCGCTCGGGTGCGCCCGTGTAAGGCGCCTAACATCTGCCTAGGGGGAAATTAAAACCCCTGCCCGTTCCACAAAGACCCTGGGCCACCCCCGGGGGCTTCTCACTGACCCTTCCCTCCTCGCGGGGAAAAACTCTAACTGGTCGTTGGGACCGGTTCCTAAGGCCTTCGTTGCTCCCCCTTTCCGGGGCCCTTTCCCATGCCCTACAACCGCCGAACTCATTTACCCCCCCGGTTTTTCCCGGCCCTACGGGGTACCCCAGTATTTTTTTTCTGATCGAGGTCCCCAGTTTTACCCCCAGAGTCTGGGAAACGATGACGTTGGGGGGGCTCGGGGAGCCCCACCCCGGGGGTTTCCATCCTGGGGTAAGGGGAGGGGGAACGTGTGAACCCGGATGTGGGGGGGTTTTTTTAATCTACGCCAGGCCGGCCAGGGGGGCACGGGACTTCCCTGGGCAGAAATGGCCCAGAATTCCCTGCCATTCCCAAACTAACCTAACCCCCTTTCCGGGGTGTTAGGTTACCAGCCGGTTTCGGCACCATGGGGCGAGCCAGAAGGGGCCCCGCGGTGGAGATGGGTGGGGGCGCTCGGGGAACGGGGGAAAGCTGCACCTCCCCTGCGCGGGGCCCCCGTCTAGAAGGCGACGCCGTCTCCACCCCCGTGGGGCCCGGGTACGCACCGGTGATCGAGTGGCTCTCTACCAAAACCTGCCCCCCCCTGCCCGGGCCCGGGAAAATGGGGCGGGGTTTGGGGGCCCTTTTTTAAAACCGAAAGATTTAACAGGTGTGTTACAGATTACAAACTGCCTTTTGATATAAGAATTTAACCCCCCGTTCCATGTGTTCTTTTCCCGGCCTGGGAGTGGTCCACTCCCGGAAATGAAAACAAAAAAAACCCCCGCCCCCATTGGGCATCGAGGGGGCCCGGTATCCGGGCCCCTCTTGGATTCGAGACGTCGGATGGGGGGTCTCCAATATCTCGTGGAGTGGGAGGGGTACGGCCCGGAGGAACGGTGCTGGGTGCCGAGGAGAGACATTTTGGACCCGTCTCTCCTGACAGAATTCCACCGTAGTCACCCGACGCGCCCTGCTCCGCGTCCTCCTGGGTCGTCCCCGAGGCCGGAGTCGGCGCACGTCTGGAGCCGCGCATCAAGGGGGGGTTACTGTCACGGTTTCGGCCGAGGCTGCCTCTCTTCCTTGCTCGGGCAGGCTTCGGCGGTCGTCGTCTCCCGGAGTACTAGCTGCCACCGTTGTATGTTTCTATGTTCGTTGGGTTTTGTCTTGATGTTGTACACCTGTTTTCGTTTAGCGCTCATTAGTGTCCTATAAGTTCTCGTTGTGTTTGTCAGGTGTTGTGTTGATTGTACTTGCTGTCGTGTTGTGCGCTACTGTTGGTCGTCTGTACTTCGTTGTTTTCCTCCTCTGTTTAGGAGGGTTCTCGCACATGTTTAGTTGCGCATTTTGGTTTACGCCTGTGTGCGTATTTTCTCGCCTCCGGGCTTTTGGCTCGTGTATTGAGTGAGTTTTCACTAAAGTCTTTTGGACTAAGTTTCTGCGTCCTGCGCCTGATTCCTGCACCACACCCACGTACAGCACCCACTGACAATCAGACTGTTAAATAGCCATCACTAGCACATTAGAGGCTGCTGCTGCTTATTGAAATCACTGGCCACTTTAAGAAATGGAACACTAATTTTAATAATGTTTACATATCTTGCGCTACTCATCTCATATGTATATACTGCATTCTATTCTATAATATTCTTCTGTATCTTAGTCCATGCCACTCTGTCATTGCTTGTCCATATACAGTGGGGGGAAAAAAGTATTTAGTCAGCCACCAATTGTGGCAAGTTCTCCCACTTAAAAAGATGAGAGAGGCCTGGTAATTTTCATCATAGGTAAACGTCAACTATGACAGACAAATTGAGAAGGAAAATCACATTGTAGGATTTTTAATGCATTTATTAGCAAATTATGGTGGAAAATAAGTATTTGGTCACCTACAAACAAGCAAGATTTCTGGCTCTCACAGACCTGGTAACTTCTTCTTTAAGAGGCTCCTCTGTCCTCCACTCGTTACCTGTATTAATGGCACCTGTTTGAACTTGTTATCAGTATAAAGACACCTGTCCACAACCTCAAACAGTCACACTCCAAACTCCACTATGGCCAAGACCAAAGAGCTGTCAAAGGACACCAGAAAACAAAATTGTAGACCTGCACCAGGCTGGGAAGACTGAATCTGCAATAGGTAAGCAGCTTGGTTTGAAAGAAATCAACTGTGGGAGCAATTATTAGGAAATGGGAAGACATACAAGACCACTGATAATCTCCCTCGATCTGGGGCTCCACGCAAGATCTCACCCCGTGGGGTCAAAATGATCACAAGAACGGTGAGCAAAAAATCCCAGAACCACACGGGGGGACCTAGTGAATGACCTGCAGAGAGCTGGGACCAAAGTAACAAAGCCTACCATCAGTAACACACTACGCCGCCAGGGACCAAATCCTGCAGTGCCAGACGTGTCCCCCTGCTTAAGCCAGTACATGTCCAGGCCCGTCTGAAGTTTGGCTAGAGTGCATTTGGGATGATCCAGAAGAGGATTGGGAGAATGTCATATGGTCAGATGAAACCAAATTATAACTTTTTGGTAAAACTAAACTCGTCGTGTTTGGAGGACAAAGAATGCTGAGTTGCATCCAAAGAACACCATACCTACTGGTGAAGCATGGGGGGTGGAAACATCATGCTTTGGGGCTGTTTTTCTGCAAAGGGACCAGGACGACTGATCCGTGTAAAGGAAAGAATGAATGGGGGCCATGTGTCGTGAGATTTTGAGTGAAAACCTCCTTCCATCAGCAAGGGCATTGAAGATGAAACGTGGCTGGGTCTTTCAGCATGACAATGATCCCAAGCACACCGCCCGGGCAACGAAGGAGTGGCTTCGTAAGAAGCATTTCAAGGTCCTGGAGTGGCCTAGCCAGTCTCCAGATCTCAACCCCATAGAAAATCTTTGGAAGGAGTTGAAAGTCCGTGTTGCCCAGCGACAGCCCCAAAACATCACTGCTCTAGAGGAGATCTGCATGGAGGAATGGGCCAAAATACCAGCAACAGTGTGTGAAAACCTTGTGAAGACTTACAGAAACGTGTTGACCTGTGTCATTGCCAACAAAGGGTATATAACAAAGTATTGAGAAACTTTTGTTATTGACCAATACTTATTTTCCACCATAATTTGCAAATAAATTCATAAAAAATCCTACAATGTGATTTTCTGGAATTTTTTTCCTCATTTTGACTGTCATAGTTGACGTGTACCTATGATGAAAATTACAGGCCTCTCTCATCTTTTTAAGTGGGAGAACCTGCACAATTGGTGGCTGACTAAATACTTTTTTCCCCCACTGTATGTATATATTCTTAAATCCCATTCCTTACTTTTTTGTGTGTATTGGGTATATGTTGTGAAATTGTTAGATATTACTGCACGTCGGAGCTAGAAGCACAAGCATTTCGCTACACCCGCTATAACATCTGCTAACACTGTATGTGACAAATACAATTTGATTTGATTTGATTTATGTTCTACAGTGTGATGTGGCAAATGGTTATAATGGAAGGCTGGTTTGAGAACTAAGATGATTTATCCAAAGACCTTTATGCATGTCAGTACAGCAGAAGAATGAACCCACACCTACAAATAATCAAACACCTGTCCTCACTCACTGTTAGAGATACCTGAGCTCACCTACACAGAGACGTGCACACTCATACTCACACCTAAAACCTAATCCACAGACACACACACACACACACACAGACATGCCCACCCTTGCTAACTGACATATGTGGGTATCTGATATCAGTGGACGGTGAGACTGATAGGAAGAGGCGTTGATGTTGTTCATTTGGACCTTGTCCTCAGGATGACAGTCTTATAACCCTGTGGTCTCTATGAGTCCATGGGCAGACACATCATGGTGGCATCAGGCTAGGGGCCAGGGATTCACAACATTTCTTTCCCATCAAAATGGTTATTGTCATCGTTGTCTCAAGTTCCAGAGAAAACCGCTGCAATATTTTAAACAAATGTCAGGGGATCAAACTTTTAATAGAGGATGATTTTGCTCTCTGTTTTTGAAAACCTGCCCCCTGAACATGTGAGTTGTTGGTACAGTAGGTATAATTATAATACTGTACCAACTCTACTACTTTGTGCCATAAGAGTTGAAATACAAGTTAAATCATATGATGTTAAACTTATGTCTACCTTTATCATGCTGATTGAAAGTTATACATTGGCATTGTTGAATACTCGATTCTGATTGGCTTGAAGGGAAGTCAATTTGATCCATTTTTATCACGTCCATGAGACATGACATATTCCGTTCTCCATGGCTTTGCACTCCTTTTGTCATTCTAAAGCACATTGGAACAACAGATTCTGAATACCACTGAATCTAGTTCTCTTTTCCATTCTCCCACTGATAATGTTATTCAATTTGGAGCTGAGTTTATTTTATTATAAAGAGAGGCATCCGATAAATAACCAGACTTCCCTTACACATGTGACTCACAGTGTTTCATTTCCTCCGCATATCAAGTTCTTGGAACGGCCCGAAAAAGATCCAGGTCCCACTGTGATAAGATCTTGTGGAAGTATTAAGTAATAATTCATGATATGAATGTAATCAGGGGCATTTCCACTCTAATCAGTATTTATTACCGGTTCCATTTATTAGTTTATGCTATAAATACAACATTTGGTTCCTCTCAAATATCTCATAACATATTTGAGTATTCGAGTAGTTTGTGTTTCCCTGATTCATATGTGTGTGGAATGTTTTCCTCAGGTCTCCACACTGGTGTTGGCTTTGAGGGATTGGTTCAGTCTAGTAGAGGCTGATGCCTTGTAATCCACCAACCATTATACTAGAAATAAATGAGTTTGTTAGATAGCTGAAGTCCTCCTGTGAACATGACAGTGTGGTGTTTAATCAACTGTAGATGGGCCAGGAGATCAAGGAGTTCGTTTGGGTTCTCCTTCCTGGGAAAGGCCCTACTTTTAAGCCATGGCTCTTTGGTTACCTCCCAAATGGCACCCTATTCCCTATATAGTGCACTACTTAGGGTGCCATTCTGTCTGAATGCGAGCCATTATAAAAGAGGTGTTCAGCAGCATTTAATAGTTGAGGGGAGGGGAAGGGATTTCCCGCTGCTCTGAGTACAGTTCAAGGCTTCACTCCACCCTCCCCGGCACACGTGGTGTACGGTAAACACACTCACATGACACCAGCCTGCTCATTCTCTGGATATGGTTTTGTACAGGTTTTATCTTCACCTAGTATTTACTCTCCCCACACACACACATTGTTTGGCTATTTTTCTATTTAATTACTATGCTATTATTTTGCACATTCACTCTAATTATATCTAAACTGGTTTCACTGAACTATGCATACACAAAATAGAGAGAAATTAGCAAATGGAAAATTGGCAGCAGTCAGTGAATGTGAACCGTCCTTATATAGCAGTGCTGGAGAGTGTTCCTGCGCTGTGCCCTTGACTTCAAGATGGACAGTATTATTCTTAATCCTCTCCAGCCTGTCCTACCTGATCACACAGCCATGCTGGACGAAGCACAGTTGGATATACTGGGTCAGCGGTTGGGAAGACGTCCCGGTCGGTTTGGGAGAGGGTGAAGGCAGATGCGGGTGAGTGAAAGTGGAGCCTTGTTTGCCCCCAGCGCTGTATTCATGCTCTATATATTCGTTGTGCCGTGAACGTTAACCCTACCCCCAGTAGTCTCGGGTGTCATGAGGGACATACTGTATATTATTATGAGGGACAGTATCACATATTGGTGTTTCTTTTATATATTACATTTCCTTTTACATTTACACATTTTTTATTTGGCCTACATATTCATGTGTGCCCACTTCAACAGAGAGGAATTAATCTACGATTTAACCCCAACTCTGGTGTGTCTCCTCTCCCAGTGTTCTGGTCCCAGGCTGGAAGAGCTGTATGTTGTCATTGGGTTCCTGTCCTCGCCTGGCTGCCTCGCTACTCCCTCAGAGAAAACGCCATCGGAGACCTGATTTCGGGCATCAGTGTGGGCATCATGCACCTACCTGGAGGTACCACTGACTACCTTGAGCTACTGATATGAATGAGATTGATATGCACATGGTATACCAACTTCCCATGTCTGCTTTAGCCCAGATGCTTAATTTGAACTGTCATTTCACTGTCTGTGGTTCTCTCTTTCCTCTTTCCCTCCCCCTCTCTCTATCAATCTCTCTCTCCCACAAAGGCATGTCTAATGCGTTGCTGGCTGGGGGTGCCTCCTGTGTTTGGTCTCTACACCTCTTTCTATCCATTGGTCATCTACTTCATCTTTGGGACATCCAGACACATCTCAGTGGGTGAGTGTTAGCACTGACCTCTACGTCACTCTCATCACCTGAAGTGGTGTGCATATTCAACTTCCCTCATTGGCATTAGTTTTCTTTCAGCTAGTGCTGAAAGAGTGAAATGTTGGTAGTAGTTCAGTTAACCTGAGCGAGAAAGAGTGCAAGGCTTTGAATATAATATCTGTATGTTTCTATGCATGACTGACACACAGGTACTTTGAGTATAATATCTGTATGTTTCTTGTTAGACAACAGGTACTTTCGCTTTCTTTCTATCTGTTTGGCACTGTGACGGTACGGGAGTTGCTTACAAAGTTTTGAGGAGCGGACGGCGAAAGAGAGAGGGCCCAAAGGTGGTGTGGCAGACAACTTCCCTTTCCCTTTTGTGGCCTTATACAGGTAACACAACACACCCACCCCCAACAACACACGTCTTGGAGACAGGTATATATGTTACTTACCCCCCTCTACAGATGTGTTTTTTTTCTTGTTGAGGGGGGGGATGGTGTCACGGTGCCCCTAAAGCCCCGGGTGAGGGGGCTAACCACGGCGCAGCCCCCCATTCCCCATCCACCGCTGCCCTACTCGTTGCATCTCATCCGAAAGAAAAGGGGTTCCCCGGGCTTAGGCTGGGTGAGCTTTGTTTGTGAGTGTGTGTGTGTGTGTGTGTGTGTATGTGCGTGTATGTGTCTGTGTGCAATGTATAGGAGACAGAGAGAGTGCGAGAAAGTGTGTGTCCCTGTCTTCATTCCTGTACCCCGTGTGTGTCAGACGCTGGTTGATGTGCTGTCTAGAGTGACTAACGCAACGCCTGGGACGCTGGGTCGTCCTCCGCCGGCTCCATGGGGATCTGTGGGAGGCAAGATGCTGAATAGACTCTTCAAGACCAAGCTAACCCATGCCCATTCCATGGGAGCTGGTGCTGGTGAGACACACATATACACACACACACACACACCAACAGTCAGAGTTGAGTCAGAATTGCATAAAGGTATTTCTGTCCTCTTCATTTATCCTCAGATAATGCCTGGCCACCTTCCTGTCAGTGCAGTTGGAGTTGTCAGGACAACATAGTTGGTCCAGGTGTTGTAGGACACATACCCACTGGGTCAGTCCTACTGTCTCTCTTCATCTGTTTGTGCCATGTAGAGAAAACAAGACTGAAAATGAATTTACTTTGTGACATAAAACCTAATTATTACAGTGTTATGTTCACAGGCTACATGAGATGGATACAAAAATATGATGAAACTACCATTATGTCCCCTCTATCTCTCTGTGGCTTCAGCCTGTCCTCCCCAGCCCTCCCCTCTCTAGCCCAGGTCAAGGAGCTGTTTGGTCCGGCTCTGTCCCTGGCTGTGGTGGGCTTTGGCTTTACCCTCCTCCATGGGCAGAATATTTGCCCACAAACATGGTTACGCCATGGAAGCAACCAGGTAACAGAGAAATTAGCTCTGAAATTGTCTCATATGAACCATTACCTCACAGCCCACTGTGTTGGAGGACCAAGTTGTTCCTCTCTCCCGCTATTTCACTGCTATAATTGGTCTCTCCCTGCTGCAGGACCTGTTGGCGATAGGCCTCTGCAACACAATTGGAGGGATGTTCCAGTGTTTCGCCGTCAGCTGCTCTTTGTCACGCAGTAACGGTCCAAGAGAGTTTTTGGGGTGAAAACCCAGGTACGTTTTATTTTTTATAGCTGGAATTCCTAGCAGTGAAACTGCCACGTCTTTTTGGTATATTACAATAACAAAGAGTTACTTCAAAAAACAATGAACATTTTTTTTTCCCTCTGACATTGCATGTGCGATAGAACACCAGATGTACGGCGATTTTTCTTTACTACCACGCTGGCGGACGCTCCTCTCCTCCATTTCCTCAACAAAACAAAATAATAACAAATGCACTGGGGTTTCAGCTTTAAGCTGCAATATTAACTTTTTTGGGCGACCCAACAATTTCACATAGAAATGTGAGTTATAGATACACTACATGACCAAACGTATGTGGACACCTGCTCGTTGAACATCTCATTCCAAAATCGTGGGGCCTTAAATATGGAATTGGTCCCCCCCTTTGCTGCTGTACAGCCTGCACTCTTCTGGGTAGGCTTTCCACTAGATGTTGGAACATTGCTGTGGGGACTTGCTTCCATTCAGCCACAAGAGCATTAGTGAGGTCGGGCACTGATGTTGGGCGATTAGGCCTGGCTCGCAGTCGGCGTTCCAATTCATCCCAAAGGTTTTTGATGGGGTTGAGGTCAGGGCTCTGTGCAGGCCAGTCAAGTTCTCCACACCGATCTCGACAAAGCATTTTTGTATGGACCTCGCTTCGTGCACTGGGGCATTGTCATCTGAAACAGGAAAAGGCCTTCCCCAACTGTTGCCACAAAGTTGGAAGCACAGAATAATCTAGAATGTCATTGTATGCTGTAGCCATAACATTTATCTTCACTGGAAATAAGGGGCCTACCCCAAACCATGAAAAACAGCCCCAGACCATTATTCCTCCTCCACCAAACTTTACAGTTGGCACTATGCATTTGGGCAGGTAGCGTTTTCCTGGCATCTGCCAAACCCAGAATCATCCGTCGACTGCCAGATGGTGAAGCGGGATTCATCACTCCAGAGAAGCTTTTCCACTGCTCCAGAGTCCAATGGTGGCGAGCTTTACAACCACTCCAGCCGACGCTTGGCATTGCGCATGGTGATCTTGGGCTTGTGTGACCTACCACTTCGCGGCTGAGCCTTTGTTTGCCCCCAGACATTTCCTCTTCAACAATAACAGCCCTTACAGTTGACTGGGGCAGCTCTAGCAGGACAGAAATTTGACGAACTGACTTGTTGGAAAGGTGGCATCCTATGACGTGCCACGTTGAAAGTCACTGAGCTCTTCAGTAAAGCCATTCTACTGCCAATGTTGTCTATGGAGATTGCATGGCGGTGTGCTCGATTTTATACACATGTCAGCAACGGGTGTGGCTGAAATAGCCAAATCCACTAATTAGAAGAGGTGTCCACAACTTTTGTATATATAGTGTATGTCATTCTCATTGAAAGCAATGCGCTATTTCTATGCTTCCCATTTTTATGTTTCGTTTTTTTGCATCTTTTACTTTTGATTTTGTACACCAGCTTCAAACGCTGAAATTACAAAGTGTTTTGGTTATGGAAAATATATTTCACAGCAGTTTAGATGTTACAATGATTCTCTACACTATACTTGCTTGTTTTGTCACATAAACTGAAATTAGGCAAAGTATTAGAATTTTAGCAACCAGGAAATGGTGGAGAGATTTCCGCATATACACATCAGGTGAATGGAATTGTTTTTTGTGATAGACACACTATAGTATTGAAATGAGAGGGATACATACTGTAGTATTACATGTGAGAGGGACACAGGATTTAAAGTCTGGCTCTGGAATTGAACTCTGGTCTCCTTTGGGGAATATGTAGTCCATAGTTGTCTGTGTGCTAGACCAAACTCCGGCACAGGTAAAGACTTAATCTCACATCTTCCCTCTCTTATATGTATCTCCCTCTGTTTCGCTCTCGCTTTTCTAATCTCTCCCCCCTCGCTCCCTCTCTCCACAGGCGGCTGGGCTTCTCTCTGCTCTGATGATGCTCACCATCTTGCTGAAGATTGGACATCTCTTTGAGCAGCTGCCAATAGTACTCAAGTCATTTATAACACCTTCTACAATCCCTTCTCTAACACTGAAATCAGATGTTTTGTCTGTGTTTGCGTTCATTTGTTTGTTTTTGTGTCCATATGCTTCTGTATCATTCCCTGCCTTTGTGTTTGTAAGTGTTTATAGGTGTTGCTCTGTCTCTATGTGTGTCTGTTACAGGCAGTGTTAGCAGTGGTCATTGTGGTAAATCTGCAAGGGGATTCTGGGTCAGTTTCGGGAAGTCCCAGTGCTCTGGGCATCTGACCGCTTGGACCTGGTATTATTCAACAACAACCTCCATATAACATCCATCATCCATCCCATATGCCATCACTGATCACCCCATAAAGGCCTCTAATCCAGGGACTTTCCTATGTCTCTCTCCCCTCTCTCCCTACAGCCTGGTGTGGTTGGCCACCCTGATATCCACCCTGCTTTTCAACCTGGATCTGGGCCTGGCTGCTGCTCTGGCCCTCTCTCTGATCACTGTCATCTACAGGACTCAACTGTGAGTGTGTCGTTCATGCGTTAGGTTGGGTGCATGTTATGGGATTCGCATAACACCTATGGTAATTGTTCATGTCTTTTCTTTCTCATTCTTTCTTTTGTATTCACTCATCACTTGCTCTGTCTGTTTATGTCTCTCTCTCTCTCTTTCACTCTCTCTCTCTCTCTCTCTCTCTTTATCTCTTTATCTCTCTCTCTCTCAGCTCCCACAGTGCAATGCTGGGTCATATTCCTGGGACTGACTGCTACAGGGACCTACATCTCTATGCTGAGGTAACCTCTATGATAGCCATTGAGAAACCTTTCACCTGAACTAACTAACCAGTCCCAGCTGTGCTGCTGATGAACAACACCCTGGCCTGCTCTGTGTTTTACAGGCCAGGCCGATTCCTGGAGTAACCGTATTCTCTTGCTCCAACCCTCTGTACTTTGCAAATGCTGAGCTGTTCTTCAGCTCTCTCAGAAAGGTAGGTAGGCTACATGCTACGAGACATAAACTACAACTTAACCGAGACAATATAACATAAACTACAACTCAACCCAGACAATATAACCTAAACTACAACTCAACCCAGACAATATAACATAAACTACAACTCAACCCAGACAATATAACATAAACTACAACTCAACCCAGACAATATAACATAAACTACAACTCAACCCAGAACCACCACATTCCACCGTTTGTTTCTGCACAGTTGTGCATTCCTTCACGTACTTACTGTAGGTTGACAGCTGTAATTCATGCAATGTGAAAGTCTATGAACATTAGCAAGTGTGTGTTTTTGTGAATACAGTCGGTGCAGCGTGTCCAACTGGAGAATGCAGCCCTCATTGAGATCCAGCCCTTAGCTCAAATGTCAGGAGCAAGGCGCAGTATGGTGCTAGAGTTTAGCTCAGTCATCTTCATGGACTCTGTGTCAATCAAAGCACTATGTAAGGTGAGCCCAAACAGTAATTTCCTGAAACGAATAACAGAGAGCGTGAGATAGGGAAAGGGAACAAGGGATATTCCATACTGTGCTGTGTAACACACTGTGTTTTTTCCATTGTGGCAGCTTGTGGAGGAATTGGAGGAGCAGGGGGTCAATGTGTTTCTGGCTGCTTGCCAAGGTAAATTCCCCTCAAACAACCTGTTACTCCCATAACAACCTCATTTACTTATAAAACTCCCTGGTCTACCCTCAAAACAGTGATTGATGTACTGTAACATATATATATATATATATTTCATATTGTGAAATTCTGCACTGGACATTGCTCTCATACCTCTCAGGACATTGATAGTACTGTTTTTGGTGTAAGACGTAATGGCAGCTACAGTTGCTTTAGAAATCAGTTTCAGATTGTAGGGTAATGTGCATCTCAGTTTCAGATTGTAGGGTAATGTGCATGTCAGTTTCAGATTGTAGGGTAATGTGCTTGTGTGTTACCTGTGTACTGTAGACAGGCTGGTGAGTCAGCTGCAGGCCCAGGGCTTCATCCCAAACACTCTGCCCAGGTCCTGCCTCTTCCCCTCAGTGCACCACGCTGTCCAACACTGCCAGATATCTCCTCCCTTGGCTGTGAGTATGTTAACTTTTTCTGTATCTTTGCTAGTGGCATTGCTACCTAGTGTCCTATGTCTACCAATTTGTCTGTTGGAATTAGTCTGCTTGCTTGTGATTGTTTTCTACCTCTGCATTGATGTTGTTCTTCTGCTCCCATAGGACCACAACACAGAGCTGAGTGAGTGTTGATGTGCAGCATGCAGCTCATGGAGTGGATGGGAAAATGCCACTGTGGAATTCCTACCTCAATCAGAATATACAGTAGACTGAACTCCCAGCTCAAGCTGGCGTTGCGATAGGACTATGAAAATGCTTTCCTTTGAGCTCAATCTCTAATGCTGTAGTTCAAAGTCTTCTTTTGAGCTATGAAAAGAGAGCAGCAGGAGAGGAGCCAGCCTGAGTCTGTCTGTCTGTCTGTCTGTCTGTCTGTCTGTCTGTCTGTCTGTCTGTCTGTCTGTCTGTCTGTCTGTCTGTCTGTCTGTCTGTCTGTCTGTCTGTCTGTCTGTCTGTCTGTCTGTCTGTCTGTCTGTCTGTCTGTCTGTCTGTCTGTCTGTCTGTCTGTCTGTCTGTCTGTCTGTCTGTCTGTCTCTGTCTGTATGCCTATCTCTAAAACATGTCCAAGACCAACCCTCCTGCACAATGCTTAGAGGTGTCTGTGTGGGTTTAATGGTTGGGTTTCTCTCCTTGACCTCCTCCAATGAGATCAGACACTTATAGGAAATGGGTGAGCTCAGCTGATGTCACTCAGACAGAATTGACTGTCATTCGTTGTTTGCATCATCGTTTCGATTTCCATTGCAGGCCTACTGTACTACTACTGTACTGCTACTGTACTACTACTGTACTACTACTGTACTATTACTGTACTGCTACTGTACTACTACTGTACTACTACTGTACTACTACTGTACTATTACTGTACTGCTACTGTACTGCTACTGTACTACTACTGTACTACTACTGTACTATTACTGTACTGCTACTGTACTACTACTGTACTACTACTGTACTACTACTGTACTATTACTGTACTGCTACTGTACTGCTACTGTACTACTACTGTACTGCTGGCATTGCCTGGGTGGGTTTGTGCTACACAGAGATAAATAATGACTGACTGACTCGCCCTCTTGTGACAATGTAATTCAGGAGGGTACAAATGAAATGTCATTCAGGAGGGTACATTTGGATGTTTTTCTCAACCTTGCTCAGTGAAAGGTTGTACAGTATATGTACAGTATAATGACTTCAATCCACATGCTGATAGCCTACTACGGTTAAGTTGTGAACTATGAGACCATACTGTCACATCATTCATTCTGCTGTGTGTTTTAGAAGAAATGGAAACAGAAGCTGTTTCTATAAAAGCTTTATTGGAGCAATATGGCATCGTGTGTTCAATTCTTTGTTGCATACAGAATGGTTTATTCTTTTTCATTATAACCAAACTGTATCATTGTGTTTTACCATTTAAAATCTTTGTAAGCTTACTCTGTCTGCAGCTCCACTAAAACATGGATTTAATTGGAATGATTGACAGGTGCAACACCCCTGTTTGATTACTTAGCATTAGTTGGGTGGACAACACCTCTATTAAACTCTATGTCAACCCTTGAATACTGAAGAAAGTAATACTGTTTCAACATATATCATCAAGCTTCAGATGGAAATTAAAATACTATTAAACATGAATAAATGTTAAATATTCACTGCACATCAGAAGGGGAGGGAAGAGTACAAGAGTACAGCGCATAGTTTAACTTAACTGCAAATGGAGGGACTGAAGAGCTGCCTACACTGTATATAATAAGTCTAGCAGAGATCATAAAGAAAGAGGCGGTTTATATAAGGGGCTCTGCAAGAGGCGTGAACTGGAGGGCAAAGTTCAAAGGTCACCCAGGGCTGCTGGGTATTTCCTTTGACCCCTATAAAAAAAACCTGTTTCAATGGAAGTTTGGTTCAAAACATTCGAATGACCAACAAACTCCAACACAACAGGTTCATTATTTATCCCTCACGGTCCCCATTATTGCGGCCATATCTGTTTGTGCACACAACCAGGTCATACACCATCCACACAGGGTAAGCAAAAACAAGGGTAATATCCCTGACTTGACTGAATTATGTCCTCTCTCTAATCAGGCCCAGATAAGACTCCTGACACCTCTTTCTAAAGACCTACTGTCTCACTGACTTGTAGCGTCAACAGCACACCTGTCTGTCCATCTCGAATGGGATGAAGTGATTGACTGGGACTTTGCTGTCCTCCTCCCCACCTGCAAGAGTATATCTGTGTTTTGTCTTCATTCAAGGTCCGCTGTCATAAGATACTTGGACAAGAGGGAATACTCAGTGACAGAGGAGGTTAAAGAGGAAACCAGAGGACTTTCTAGGAACAGAGGGTCTCAACTGGATTAATAACGGAAGAATGACCCCTCTTAACTCAAACAAAGTCATACAAAGGCTCAGACACTTTGGACACAGATTCATAAAGTATTTGGATTACCATATTTGGACAACCTGAACACTGATGTACAGACCTGCAGTAGATTGACCTTGAAGGAGAGGAACATCTTTTCAGAAGTTGAAGCTACATCAAGTGGGATATTATTGCTGATCATTGAGAATCAACCTGAAGCCAGTTTCCATTGAGACATAAGACATTTAAGTCATAAGATCACAACACATCGGAGCACAGGGAGAGAGTTGATATCAGACAAGTTTGAAGGAAGTATCGGAGGTGACCTCTACACAGATGGGACTCTAGTGGGTCACACAGGCCCAACCATGGAGGAGAGAAGGCGTGTGGGCTACCGCATGTACAGAGAGGTGCTGGATTAAGGAAAAGTGGACAAATTTGCAGAGAAATCAGATGTTAAAGTCCCTCTCACTGAAAAACTCAAGAGTCAATGAGGTAAGATAACGTTAACCTTGAATACAACTGAAAATAACCTAAATGAAATGAAACTGTGACGAAATAGCGTTCATTGTTGACCTCTCTAGAATGCTGTGTCTCAGACATGACTCACTACTAATACCATTTGTAATTCCTGGAAAGACTCAGTGTATCCTTGTGTTTTAGTACAGTATGTGTAAGAGTTGCTGAATGTGCGTCTTAGTTCTCCCTATGACTCAGTATGTCTTGTGTGCCTGTTTCAGTGCTTAAAGAGCTACTGAACATGCCGATTGGCACGTGTGTTTTTCTGTTGCTCATTTGAAAAAACGAGATTTCAGTCTTGGAGGTGTGTTTCCTAACCGATTCTGCGTTTGGTTAATGATATTTGTCCCCCCATGAGACACTGGAAGCCTATTTCACTTCCTCAAAATCCCCAGAATGAAAAATGTTGACGTTTTTACCGAGGATGTTTTAGTTTTTACATCTAACTAAGGTGTTTGGTGCAGTATTTCTCAAGTAAAAAGATACGTGACTTGTTGTCTTATGTAAACAAAGTCAGAGCTGCTGAGCAGGTCTGTCTCGTTGCCTATGCTATTGGATAGAGAGCAATCACCGCAGCTGTTTCTGACTTATATCGATGCCACATAGGCCATTTTCGAAGGGAATTGTTGCTTTTTAAAGGCAGTCACTCTTTAAAGATAAATGAAAAATAAAGTACTCAATTTACTGTCAGGTCGTTCTTGAATTGCGGTGGCATTTGGGCATTACAGTTTTCTCATTTGTTAAAAAAAAGATGTATTTGGGTACATCTTCCCATTCTAATTAAACTACTATGGTAGCTTAATGACTTTTTTAAAACCATTATGATAACATTATGGTGCCACCAGTAGGAGTAGAAACACCAATGCACCAATGAGACATTTTTGGTTATTGAGGATTTTCTTAAATGGAGGCCACAGATGCAGGTCAATAACCCTTTAAAAATAATTTACTAAAGTGATATCATTAATAATTTGACAAAGCTTGAAGAATATTAGCGAATCATTTTCTTTAATATAGACCCCTCCCCCGATAACAGTTTGCCTCTGGAGGGAATGCTCAAGGTCCTTGTATATCTTTGTAATAAATGTGATTTTCAAGGCAGTAACACCAATGACATGAAACTGAAGGACAGACATTATACTAGTAAAAAATATAGGTATTTTAATTAGCCTTCTTTGTTTTATTTATCTTTACAATATATAATTTACCTTTGTTCACTTTCTAGCATTCAAAATAGATATCTCTAAATCCCCAAAGAATGTCACTACAACTATACAAATTGAGATAAGCTTACATTAATATACTGTTTTGCAGTATAAAGGGTTTTCATTATGTTTTATCATTGATAAACAGTTCAATATAAACAAAAACATGATTGATGTGTAACTATTTGTCATTTGAAAGTGTTTTTAATGGTTGCAAAGGCAAGGGACGCAAATGCCATCGCAATTCAAGAACGACTCTGTTATCATACCAGGGTTCGAATTTTAGAACTGGAACTGGTGCTGGTACTCAAGCAGTAGAACATTTGAGGAAGCAAATCTCTGTACCCTCTTCCACCACTGGCCTGGATACAGTGCCTTCAGAAAGTATTCACACCCCTTGTCTTTTTCCACATTGTGTTGTGTTACAAGGTGGGATTAAAATGGATTTAATTGTCATTTTTTTGTCAACGAGCTACACAAAATACTCTGTAATGTCAAAGTGGAAGAAAAATTCTAACATTTGTAAAAAAAAAAATATATGAAAAACAAAACACTAATATATCTTGATTACATAAGTATTCAACACCCTGAGTCAATACATGATAGAATCACCTTTGGCAGCGATTACAGTCTGGGTAAGTCTCTAAGAGCTTTGCACACCTTTCTGGGTAAGTCTCTAAGAGCTTTGCACACCTTTCTGGGTAAGTCTCTAAGAGCTTTGCACACCTTTCTGGGTAAGTCTCTAAGAGCTTGCACACCTTTCTGGGTAAGTCTCTAAGAGCTTTGCACACCTTTCTGGGTAAGTCTCTAAGAGCTTTGCACACCTTTCTGGGTAAGTCTCTAAGAGCTTTGCACACCTTTCTGGGTAAGTCTCTAAGAGCTTTGCACACCTTTCTGGGTAAGTCTCTAAGAGCTTTGCACACCTTTCTGGGTAAGTCTCTAAGAGCTTTTGCACACCTTTCTGGGTAAGTCTCTAAGAGCTTTGCACACCTTTCTGGGTAAGTCTCTAAGAGCTTTGCACACCTTTCTGGGTAAGTCTCTAAGAG